CACGGCCCGGCCGTGTCCCTCCAGCGCCGTGCCAGTCACGCAGAACGTGGATTCACATGCGTGCATATGACACACATATATGTTATCATAACGTGTATATGCACACGTATAACAATGCATACATATATTATAATATGCACTCATATGTGCTATGCATATATTACGGGCATATAGTATAATAATTCACACATGCACGTGCATATATTATAATACTGCACATGTATGACATGCATATATGTTACCATGTGCACATATAATACACATACATATAATAAATGCATGTACACACATATGTAATAATGCGTATATGCACATACATATATTATAATAATGCATATATTACATGCATGTATTATTATAATGCATGTGTTGTATACACATCTGTATATACATATATTATTATAATTCATATGTACACATATATTATAATAATGTATATAGATTACATACATATAAGAATGCATATATACACATGCATATGTTATAATAATGCATATATTACATACATATGATATGTTCACATACATATAATAATGCATATATACACATACATATAATATGCATATATGTTGCAGACACATATAATGTTTACATAGATTATAAAAATGCATATATACACATATATTATTATAATGAATATATACTACATGCATATGCATTATTATAAAATATATGTGTGTATATGCATTATAAAAATGCATATATACACACACATGTTAGAATGCATTTATATTACTTATATTTTCTAATAATGCATATATAACACATATATAATAATGCATATATATTACATCTATTATAATAACACATATATAAAAATACACACATATTACATATATATATTTACATATATGTGTACATAGCCATACACACACACACACTTCAGACATACACAGTAGCAGCTAGAAATGCTTCAGCTGCGTGGAACAGAGCCTCGTACCGGGCTATAAGCTGGTGCTCAGAAAACCCCTCAGCATCTTCCTGAAGCGCACCTTCTGCTTCAGCCAGTCTGGGGTGAGTCTGAGCATCCCCATTTCTA